ACACACACACACACACACACACACACACACACACACACACACACACACACACACACACACACACACACACACACACACACACACACACACACACACACACACACACACACAGAGCAGGCAGTGGGGCAGTGCCGTGTGAGCCCAGCAACAGCATCTGTGGCAAGTGGACAATTCGCATCTCCTCCTTTTGACCACACGTTGCTGTGCATGCGTACCTCGATGTGCGGAACAGGCGAAGAACACGTGGGTGTGCGGTGACGGCTGCTTGTTACTGGCCCTGCCACGTCCTCTTGCTTCTCCCTCGTTCTCCTCGTTCTCCTCCTTGTCCTTGGTGAACGCATGCATGCTCTCTTGCGTATGCGTCTCAAACAGCAGCAACGGGCCGTGCGGGCACGTGGGCACGCGCTTGCCCAGCTCACCCCACACATCCATCACACAGTCCGTCAACCGACCACCACCACCACCACCACCACCACCACCACCACTCTTCGCATCACTCATCATCAATCAACCTTTTGCTCGTCGTCTTCTTCTTTTTGACGAAATCCACACAACACCGTTACCCATCCATTCAACCACCACCACCACCACCACAAACACGCAAGATGGAGGAGTACATCCTGTACCACGACATTGGCCGAGGGCACACCACATCCGCCTTCAAAGGCCGCAAATCAGTACGTTGTACCTGCGCATGTGAGCGATCGCGGCGGTCGTGTGTATGTCGTATCCTTCCTGCCTTGCATCTCGTTTGCTCCAGGCTCACCACTTGTTGCGTGATGTGTGTGTGTGTGTGTGTGTGTGTGTGTGTGTGTGTGGGTGTGGGTTTGCAGAACACGCTGGAGTACCTGGCGCTGCTGCAAGTGGAGAACAAGTACTCGGGGTTGGCTGCAGTGCGGTACGCTGCCGCCCAAGCTGTACGCAGCGAACATGTCTGTCGCGTTGACCTTCACTGCGACACAGGACCAGAGGTACACCGAAGATTGTGTGTGTCTGCATGTGTGTGTCTGCATGTGTGTGTGCGCGCGCTTGTGTGTGTGCGCGCGCTTGTGTGTGTGTGTGTGTGCGCTTGTATGTGTGTGTGTGTGTGTATGTGTGTGTGTGTCTGCATGTCTGTGGGGTTCTTTGCCTCAATCCTGCTTGACGCTGCTTCTCGCTTCCTGATCCACAGCTGCTTGTTTGTGTATATGCTGACCGACAATAACTGGCACATACGCTTACAGGTGTGGCTGGTTTCAGAGCTCTGCTCCGCCATCAGCCTGCGATCTGTCGTCAACGGCGATGGCTACCTCATGGGCTCCCATTTGATGAAGTGCGTGCTCTCTCCGCCTCCTCTTCACTTTGCGCGCTTTGCCACAAGATGTCGTGTCTCGCGATAGCCTGCTGCAGTCACCCACCACACACATGCACACTCCTATCCTCCCTGCTTCTTCCCGTCTCCTGTCCCCTACAACCCCTTTTACATACATACACATACATACACACGCACATATACATATACATACACACACATACACACATATACATATATATATGAAAACATATGTATTCGCTTGCACCAGGGTGCTGACGGAGATACTGCTGGCTGTTGCGCACTGTCACGTGAGCGGTGTCGTTGTTGGCGACGTGCGGTTGGAAAAGTTCCTGGTGCAGGACGGCCACATCAAGCTGTGCAGCCTGGGCCGCGCCATGGCCATGCACAGGATGGACCCTGTGCCCACAACCGCGTCCCCATCAGGCGTGACGCAGGTCACCATGCCGACCATCAACAAGGAGCAAGTGAAAGGCCTCATCGCAGACATGGACCGCATCCACTGCCAGCAGTACCTCGCGCCAGAGGTGCACACCCGCCATGCCGTCACCCCTCTCAGCGACCTGTGGGCCACGGGCGTGGCGCTGCTCGAGCTCATGATTGGCCGCGCCGTGCCCCCGCCAGAGGCCGGCGCCGAGCTGCACGTCGACAACCTGCGCGACGTGGCCAGGGAGATTGGGCACCCGCCCGATGTGGTTGCCCTGGTGCTGAACCTGCTGCAGCGGCGGCCCGAGCAGCGCTGGTGCTGGCGCGACGTCATCGCCAGCCCGCTCCTGCACGACGACAACAGGTTTGCCCTCATTGAGGAGGAGCTGCTCGCCGTGGATGAACAATACGCGCCACGCCCACCGATGCCTGCACGCACGCGCGTTGATGCGCATGGTGGCGAAGGCAAGGGCGGGCCACGCTTGTCAGCAAGCGTCGCCTCTCGCGTGTCTGCCAGCGGCCGCAGCAGCCGCAGCGCCAGCAGCAGAAGCAGCAGCAGCACAATTGTTGGCGACGGAGAGCACCACGAGGGCGAGTTTGACGAGGACGATGAGGCTCAGCCGGAACACCAACGCACAGGCGTGTCCGGACATGAGCACGACGGCGGCGGTGGCGGTGGTGGTGGCGGTCGAAGCGGCAGGGACGATGACGCGCGGTCATCTGTCGCTGCTGTCTTCAAAGGCGAGCACGACACCCTCATGACAACCCGCCAGCTCAACCCAGCCACGTCGCTCGTGCTCTCCAAAGCGTCGCTTGCTCGCCGGAGCATGCAGCGGCCCGCCACGGGCGCCGATGCTGCTGCTGCTGCTGTACACACGCCCGCCGCCGCTGGCGACCGCAAACCCCACACCGCCGCTGCCGCTACACATGCAAGCAGCGCTGGCGAGCACACAGCATCGGCCGAGCTGCCACCGCGTGCACGCACAGCGCAGGCGTGGCTGGACGCTGACGTGGAGCCACACCCGCCAGCCAACCCGTGGGCAGGGTCGTCACGCACGCAGGCAGGCCGGCAGCGGGCACACGCGGCCCTGCGACGCGCGCACGAGCTGCTGGAGAAGCACGGCGTGGACGATAGTTCCACACGGCCGACGCACGGTGGCGGGGACAGTGATGGCAGCAGCGGTGGTGAAGAGGGGGAGGAAGAGGGGGAGGAAGAGGAGGCTGTTGGCGTCTCGCCCGCAACATCTGGCCGGAATGGAGAGGGCATTGCATCGGTTTCTGCCTCGGCGGCGGCAACGTCTACGCCATTACAGCAGCGCAGGAAGAGGGGCACGGTGACAATTGATGCTGACTACGACGGAGGACAGCAGGAAGGAGTGGATCCTCTGGTGGTGGACGCAGCGCAGACACCAGCGTCCTCCATCCGCCATCACCCAGCAGCAAACATGCGCAGGGAAGTTGGGCGCCTGTCGCCGAGGCCGCCCGTGCTTGCAGGCAGCACAGCCAGCTCGCAATCCACAGTTGCCGGGCGGGGCGGCCGTGGCGACGAAGACGAGACAAGCGGTGAGGCCGATAGCCTGGGTGGAGGGCAGCCAGAATCGAGAGGTGAAGAAGCCGCAAGCTCAACCAAAGCAACAGCAGCAACGACACCATCGTCTGCACGCAAGCAGCGCAGCAGCAGCCAAACACCAAAGAAGAAACAGCAACAGCAGCAACCCCTGCCTTTGCCTGGCTTTTACCGCGTTGCGCCGTTCCGACTCGAGCTGCTCGATGCTGACACGTTGCAGAACACCGCGGAGGAATGCACCCCTGCACGTAAGCTGGACCCCTTGCGTGGAGGACGTGTGTCGTGTGCATGTGCACATGTGGATATGGACGGGGATGATGCTGTATTTGCGTCGTTAGTGGGCGTCTTCTTCGTGACATAACTTGTGATGTGCATGTTTTTTGACAGGGCTGCGTGAGCTGGTGCATGAATTCAGCGACAAGGAATCACTGTCATCGCCGCCGCCGCAACAGCCGCAAAAACCAGGCGTCATCTGTAAGCGTGGCTTAATTGCGTGTTGTGCTTCGCGTTACATTCCAGTTGACTGCATTGAACG